CGGGATGGAGAAGACGCACGACTGTTCCTTAGCAACGGTGCCGTTTTGGCAGAAAATGAGAATTTTCAATTTGACCCCTGCCTCTGGAAATTTAACAATTTGATGCCAGAAATATTTTAATTTTATCCTTGGATTAATTTCAATTAAGTCCCTGAATTTATTTAATGAATTAAATAAAATTTTGATTAAGTCCTCAAACTCATTAATTTTTCAATTAAACCCTTAATTAAAATGATCTAAATTTTAATTGAATCAATTCTCCAATTGAGCCATTAATTTAATTAATTAAACTAATCAAGAGTTTAATTAAATGTTTAAACTTCCAATCATGTTGCCTCTAGCTCAAATTTTAATTTATTTTTCAATTATTTTATTTTTACATGTTTTTCATCATTTTTTAAAAAAAAAAGATCAAAAATTGAGTTATGACAACACGATCAAAGAAACGTGTCTGAATTCAAGATCATGCCATCTGTGTTTGCCATTTTCGTTTCTTCAAATTATATCCGAAGTTATTGACCCAAATTAGAATATTGGAAATTGCATTCTTCACATGTACAGATTGCATGATATCAATGTGAAAGAATATATGTTACTTGTCTGTGGATGAAGATAGAGCGTGCTTAGAATAATGAAACCCCCACTTATGAACAAGAAGAGAAGAAGAAGATAAACGTAATGTCTAGGAAACTCTAGGCTATATTTTCATACGAAAACATGCATGCATCCTTGTTGTCCTTATCTCTGCCAAAGCAATCAACTTTCGAACTTAATTATTAGTTTATTGGCTGGCTGCTGGAACAAAAGTCAATGATCACCAACCAATAGCCACCAATTATGAATGCTACTCTATAAATATGCTCACAGCCCACCTCAATTTCAACAAAACTAAATTCAGAACAAGGAAACAATACTAAACGGTGATCAAAAGGAGAAAAAATGGCATCTATTTGTCAAGGTAATGAATATTCTTTCTCGCTGAAATTAAACAGTAATTGAAAACGTCATGTCCATAGTTTGTTTTGAAAAAAAAAATTAACTTGTCTCCATGCAGGTAAGAGTTCATAGCCAGAGCTTCTTGAAGTAGACGGGAAGTGCGCTGTCACAAAGATCGAGAGAGAAAATCCTCTGGTTGAAGCTATAATTGTGCCAGAAGGATCGTCAGTCATCCAGAATTTTCAATGCGATAGGGTCTGGGTCTGGGTTGATAAAGGTGGCATTGTTTATATAGTCCCTGTAATTGGTTAAGATCCAAAAACTGCGATATGTTCTTGTGATAAGTGTTAAGGAATGCTGTGGAATTGTGGGCTGTACCTAGAATAAAAGAATAAAATGAAATGAGGAGCTTGGATCCAATCTCCATGTATGTATTGCAATCTTGATAAAAGTTGTATTTCTCTATGTATTTCCATTGAACTTAATTATAAATATACACCACCCCTAATAGAGTTATATGTGATTAATTATATTCTACCAATATCTATCACCATGAACGGCATCATGAGTTCAATGCTATCTTTTCTACGTATAAAGGTTTTAGATCAGTTTTCATAGAGAAGGAAATGGCAGTGATGACAATCTAGCTAATAGCAGGCTCTGGACAGGGATGCAGAATTTCTGGTTTGGTTGTGATATCCCTGTTGACCTTTTCTTTCCTCGCCATCACCTTGCTGGCTAGCGCCTTTAAGTAATCCAGTTTTGATTTTTTTCCCAAAGAAAAATCCACAGTAAATGTTTTTAGTACTTAATATTTGTAATTGTATATATAAACGCATACAAAAAGCTTATCGAAATCTATACTAACTCATTAATCTTCGAATTAAAAAGAAAAAAATTAAATTGTGACACGAAATCACAAATAAACAAGTATTTCTCTTGAGTGTTTTTAACATGTTAAGAGCTTGCGTTTCCCATTAATATCACGCTAAACAGTTGCCATGATCAGAAATGTTTAATCACGGGTCGTGCTGGCCGGGTCAAATATAGTGTTATTATAAGGTTTTGGATATATGGAGCACAAATTCTTTCGAACATGTTCGGCCGGAGTGTTCTCGTCAAATAATGAGAAGATTTTTTAAAACACGTCAAAATAATTGAATAAAAGTTATAATTCATAAATATTCATGTCTATTTTTCATTCAAAAATCTTATTATTTTTAGTTAATAATAATTATTTTTTTATTTATAATTTGTGACTCTTATTTTTTAATTTTTTTTCTCAAGTGAATCAGTCAATAAAAAAATAAAAATACATGAATCTTTTTTAATCTAACTGTACCGTTATTTTACTAAAAGCAATTTGATTAATCATTTATCTTTATCAATTAAAGTGTTAATTTGATCCTTAGTTTAACATGGGCATTCCATTACCAACGTCACTGAAGGCATTTACCAAAATGGCTAATCAGCCAACATGTGTCCTTTGACTATGTTGACTATTTTTTTTATTTTTCTTTTCCTTTTTTTATCATAGAAAACATTTATTGAAATTTGAAGGAAAAAAGAACATTAGAGAAGACGGGTAGATTGAGAATCGAAATTGTTCTATTTTCTTATAGAAATATTTTTCTACAAAATTAAATACCCCTTTTTCATTTTTTTTCTTTGTGTTTTTTTTCTAATTTCAATAAATATTTTTGTAAAAAATAAAAATGAGAAGAAAAAAAATACTAAATTGAGTAAAATAATATGGTCAAAGGCCACATGCCGATTGATTGGCCATTTTATTATTCGCCATCAACAACCTTACTAAAGGAGAGCTAACATTAAACAAGTCATTCAATTCAAGAATCCAATGTAAGCTTAAATCGGTAAAGGAACCTGATTAATTAATTCTTTTTTTTTGTGTGTGTGTTTTTATTTTTCATAGCTGTTTCTTTATCTTTTTTTATATAGTTATTTTCTAAATATATAGCCATGTATTTATTAATAAAATCGATGATTATAAAAAAAAAACTTAATTGCTTTTAATTAGTGTAATTTTTTTTCTAATAAAATCGATGATTATAAAAAAAAAAAATTGCTTTTAATTAGTGTAATTTTTTACTTATTGAGACCTTTACAGAAGTAGACTGGATGTATATAGATCATCATATATATAAATCTACAAGTGCATATACCAATTTCTAGAGAAGAACTTGTTCACACGGCCTACCGAAAAGCAACTTGACAATTGCGCTTTCCTCTACTCAAGTAGGGTACCAAGCCTTGACAAATGCAACAACTGAATATATAGATATGGCTTCAATATTTAGTGAAGGAGCTTCGTTAATTTTCAGTTAATTATTGTAGCATATTTGTGTTTTGAAAATTTTATATATTTAAAAAAAATACAATAATATTCTAGATAAAAATAGTACAAAAATATATACTAATAGAAAACAAAATAATAAAATTTAATTTGTTCTAATAATCTCGTGATATTTATTTATAATTTATAAGTTTTATACGGTATGTTTTTAATAAGACATATTTGTATTCCAAAAAATTTATATTTATAAATATTTTTTGATAAAAATATACTAATAAAAAAAAATTGATAATTTTTTTTAATAAAAATATAATAATAAAATCTTGTTTCTTGATGGATAATTTTTCCTGTAATCATATCAAAGACATGCAAGATCTACCATCCTTAATTATAGTCTTGACCATTAAGATCGTACCTACCAACCTCCGTAGTTTATGATCAGTTACATGCATGTAATGAGTTCAGGTTTCTCACGTTTATACGAGTTTGGACGTAATATAGGTTAGGCTTCTGTTCACGCCACGTCACACGTGGAGGAGATATTTCAGGATCGATAGAATATTATCCATTTGATCCTAATTAACTCCAAGTTGTAACAAACAACAGCTTGCTTTCCCAATGATATCATGCATTAAAATAGGTTAGGCTAATACTTTTCTCGTCCAGATTTTCACCTAATTAAGGTTTTGGACGAGGAAGACAGAATCTTTCAGCCATATTAGGTGTCATCTCCTCTTCGGACAGTACTAATGAGATTTTTCAAACAAAATCAAGTGTCGGAAAGTAGCCAAGTTCATACGAAAACATGCATCCTTTATCCTTATCTCTGCCAAAACAATCAACTGCCCATCTTAATTAGTTTTTTGGCTGGCGGCTTGAAAGTCAATTATCACCAACCATTAGCTGCCCGTTATGGTAGACTATAAATTCCCACCTCGATCCGAACAAAATTAAATCGTAACAAAGAAACAGCACAAAAGAGCGAAGCGGAATTTAAAACAAATGGCGTCTACATATTGCGAAGGTAATGAATATTTTTCTTCCCGTGAAAATTAGCGATATCGAGAATTTCATGTGCATGGTTTGTTGTGAGTTGTGACGCAGAACTTGTTGTGTGCATGCAGGTAAGAGTTCATGGCCAGAGCTTCTTGGAGCAGAGGGGAAGGTCGCTGCTACAACGATCGAGAGAGAAAATCCTCTTGTTAGAGCTAAAATGGTGCCTGAAGGATCAGCGGTCATCCAAAACTTCCGGTGTGATAGGGTTTGGGTTTGGGTTGATAAAAATAACATTGTCTTTAGAGTCCCTATGATTGGTTAATACACAAAACAAACTCCAATATTTTCTTGGTTATTTGTTAGATGCTGTTGCATCACTGACTGTCTTGAATAAAATTTAAATAAGGAGGCTCTGATCTCCATGCATTTATTGCTTGATAAAATTGTATTTCTCCTTGTATTGTCATGAAATTTAATAGCAATAAATATATATACATTTATACCCTTAATTTGTGAGTATTTTATTGTTCCTTCTGGTAATTAAATATTCATGTTCTTATATATATATATAATCAAGATGATATTTTATTTTTTTAATATTAAAACAATAATATATTTGATTGATTCAAGTTATGACAAACCAAAAAGAATTATAAAAATAAATTTAAAATCAAAAAAATATTTAATGATAAAATTAGAAGGAAAAAAAAAGATGAAAGTGAAAGAAAAAAGAGGGGGAAATAGAAAGAAAAGGAAAGGAAATTAAACAAAAAGATTGGGGGGGGGGTACCTGCTCCACTGAAGGGTAAAAAAGGTAAAAAAAAAAAAGGGACTTAATTCATTTTTGATCTTCATTTTTGATCAGATGTGGTGGCACGGCAAAAAAAAGGGACTTAATTCATTTTTGATCAGATGTGGTGGCACGGTAGTTGTTTTAGTAGAGAGGAAGTAATAAAATCATGAGGTGGTTCTTTTATAAAATCCAAATAATCATCTTTTTATCTCTTGTATTCTCTAATTTTCTATTTTGGAAAGATATTCCGAAAAACAGGAAATAAACATATGTTCTGATTTTTAATTAAAAAAACTGAAAACCGGAAGGTTGGAAAATGAAAAACAAGAACGCACACATAGCAGTTCAGCTGTCGGTAGAATTAAGCTTGCCTGCCATTTGGCCACCAAATAGAATCCCTTGGCCGTAAATTTTTGCCGGTCATTTGCCACCGTGCTGAGACCGCATCCGAAAATGGAAGCGACGGAAGATGGGAAACGAAACTGTAAAAGCGAAGATTAGCTCCTAAAGCTCAACATATCAACAAACTTCGGAGACGAAGCAGAAAGATGATGCACATATAGGCTCGAGTACGTTAAAAAAAATATATATATTAAGTCTTAGAATACACATATAGGCTCGAGTACGTTAAAAAAAAAATATTAAGTCTTGGAATTCAGCCTTGTCTTTCAGTGTTCTGTCAAAAGGAAAGACAAGGCTGAATTCGAAGACTTTGTATTTTTTTTCCTTTTGACAGAACATTGAAAGACAAATTTCAGTGTTCTGTCAAAAGGTCTAATGTTCTATTTAATTTAAAGTAAATCAGTAAAAGAAAGCAAACGCAAGTTCAGTGGCATGTATTAATTTCTTGCAGAAAAAAATAACTTCTAGACAATCAGCAGAGGTGAGATGCAATTGGTGCAGAAGGAGGTAGGCTTGAAAAGGACAGGAAGGCATGGAGGAAGTGCATTGCTTTTGTGCCAAGACTACAGTTTGCAGATGAAATGCTACTTGTGGGTTATCTTCTTCCTAACATAACCCTGCGAGGTGGTAGATCCTTAGAAGTGCCTGCAAGTTTCTCCTGAGGTTCTTCCACGCTTATCTCATCATCACTACCTCTATCAAAACTCTCAGTTTTGTCAGAATCTTCCTCTTCCTGTGCCAATTGTCCAGAAATTTCCTTCTTCGAGAGCTGATCTCGAAGTTCTCTAAGTTTCCGTTTCTTTGAATTTAAGACCCCAAGAAACTATAAGCCAAGAAAAACCAAATTAGCTCTAACATGTCAAAAAGGATGCAAGACGAAATATACATCCTCGGTGGAGAAGTGACAGATACCCATACCGTGCATTACATACGAGGTAAAACAAAAACATAATTTCTAGAAAACTGCATTTAAATAATCATGTTTTTAACCAAAAAGATTAACAGTTGACTCTAGACTTCAGTGCTGTTGCCATTTAGATTTCCTCTACTGTGTTATGGTCTCATTGACCAATGTTTATGGGAATAGGCTCCCATCATATTGGTCCACTCTTCCAAACCATTACAGAAATAAAGTGGAGATCTGGAGGTGACTTTCTCACTCCAGTCTTCCTTATAAACTCTCCCATCAAAAGGTATATCCAGTATCAAATGAATGGATGGTTTTGGACAATTGACATGCAAATTTCAAAATCACATAGATAAACAAGGGCACGCATGGAATTCAAACTTAATATCCAATTGTGCTAACCAAACATGACTTATTTAAACAAAAAATTTATTTGGCATTTCATGACGACAAAACATTATTCAACAATCAAACCTCAGCAACAATGTTTCAACTATGATAAAACTGTACGAGACTGTATATCTTCAACAGAACACAAAACTCTATCAAACTAAAACCATCCTCAGCTAAATCCATGCACAAAGACAGTATTACCAATCACTTCAGTTCTGCTTCAAACTTTATTAGCAGAATCAAGCAACGATGCAATGAACTTAAATCAAGAAAGTAGCAGTGTTATAATACTTTTCTGTGAATTTAAAGGCACATAGTAACACACCTTTGCATATACTGCAGCTTCAAATTCCATCTTCTGACTGTTAAATTTCTCACTTTGTGCCAAACACTTCTCAGCTTCTCCTTTCAGTCGTTCAAATGACTGAGTCTTTCTGACAACTTCTTCCTATACATAAGTAAACTAAAGTGATTGAGCCTTTCAAATGTTTCCTCCTCATCATTGTAGTTAGCATCATTGACATCCTCATTTTTTCAGAGTCTTTCTGACAACTTCTTCCTATACACAAGTAAACTCAAGTGATTGAGCCTTTCAAATGTTTCCTCATCATCATTGTAGCTAGCATCATTGACATCCTCATTTTTTCAATAAAAGTCATCATCACCAACATCATATATTTTATCAACTCCTCATAATATTCAGAACAAGAATCAGCATAATCTCATCCGTATTCATCATCAGAAAACATAAACATGATGAATTTGCCACTTTTTACACAGAAAATGTTCAAAGAATAATACTGAAAATACTAAATCTCTTGACAAAAATATCTTACTAGCTCATGAAGGATGCTATGTTTCATTTAATGAAATGATGCGACAGGTTAGTGACTACATGATTACATGTGTAGTTTTACTTTTAAGAAAAACAACACTTCAGTAAAAGGTGAGTAACTACGCACAATAATATGGATATTTTGTCAAAATAAACATCATAAATAACACTGTCTACAAACACGCCTAATTATCACAAACAGACAGCCCTGGTCAATACAAGCAAACATGATGGAACTGTTCATAATACCAGAAAAAAATGTAGAACCTGCAAAGCAACTCAAACCACTGGCAACGCCAGAAATAAACATGAAAAGGCAAGAAAACCTTGAGCCAACCTACTGATTTGCTACAGATTTATCATACATAGTCTTTAGCCAATTTATTTTGGCTTTTGGTTCTCTCATTGCAAACCACATCTCTCTTCTAGTCCTTAATAGGAAAAACTCTGAAGCAAATACATGAAGGCCGCTGCCTTTCACAATGTCTGGCATAGAATGCAATTCATCCATGACCTCTATAATGCTACATCCTTGAGCATCTCTCCTCCTCGAAGTGACACTACCCCCACTCTCAACAGTGGCCATCAACCTGTCAAGTTTGCGGGATAACTTCACTGTGCCTCCTGATTGATTCCTTCCTTTCTTGACTGATTGTGTGCCAGATTCATCAACTCTCTTTTGTTTCTTGTCATTTCCCTGCTCCTCAATCTGGAGGGAATCCCGGTCTACACATGCAGCATTCAACATCTCGTCCAAACTCTCCACAAAAGTAGGCTCATCCCCTAAATCACCACTCCCTTCCACATGCACAGCTGGTTCAATATTAACATCAGGTTGCATGAGATTGCCATCATTTTCCTCCTCGTCTATAAAAACAGCTGAAGAGGTGGGCCAAGCACTTGATCCAGTGAACATGAAATCATATTTGGAACAAAGATCAGGCTCAATACCCGAATTTCGGAATTTTTCAGCTGCTGGCATTGCCTATATTGATATGAAAAAATAAATCCATGTGTGAATCAATATATGAAAGGAAAAACCATAGCCACATAGCCCCTAAAATTTATTCTTGAAACTAACCTTGATCTTTTCATCCCACCAATCATCAGAGGCAGCAACTGTTTGTTTATTGGGATCCCAACCAAGTTCGTTTTCTTGACCTAGCAAAGATTTCCAAATCTTCCAGTCCTTCTTTATCCCATCCCACTTGTTTTTCAACTGCTTCTTGGTAAAACTTTGTCCACTCTGTTTCTCAAATTGTCCAATAACATACCTCCATCCATGTTTAGAGAAATGAGTCCCAGGTCGCAAGCCCATCTGAACAGCTTGGATACAAATATCACAAAATATATGTGTACTCCTTCTACTCCACACAGCCTTAACTGCTTTACATTCAGTTTCAATTCCTCGATCCAATACATCCATGGCTAAATTATTCTCAGTTTCATAGGATGTTTTAACTTCCTTACTCTTTCCCATCTACAACAGCAACCCTAGTCAGTCCCATTACGAAACAGCACAAACATTTTATGAAAATCCTGAAACATTTTATGAAAATCCTGAAACAATCTCATTTCACAATCAGCAAGCACAAAATCTCAATAATTCAGATGGTATATGTCCAGAAAGGATACTAACGAGTAAAACCTCACACTGATCATTCCAATAATTAAGTTCTCTTGTTTTTGCACCAATAATATAGCATGATAAAAGTAAATAATATCACAGAGGCTTTGACTCTTGATTAGATGTGCTATGAAGTCTCAAATTACAGAGGAATGCTGGGATAAAACATGAAAATTAAAACATACGATCAAGAAACGATACTGTATGGTCACAAAGAACAGTATTTGCAGAGAGGAACGAAAACCCCATAACAACATCAACGCAATCCAGATAGAAATCAAAAGAAGAAAAAAAGAACTCACACTTAGTCTGATGTTAGCATCCATAAGAAAATCCAAGATTAAAGTAGTAGTCTTCTTAGTATCAGGCGAGGGCTGGCATTTCCATCGCCATTCCAGCTTTGTCCCTTCTTTCTCAAAAGTCCACGACAACTACAACCAACCACAGTTTTTAAGTTCTTACGAAAATCCACTCAAATTTCCACTAAAGCAGCAACTTTTTTACTATTTATGATGAAAAAGAAATTTCCACTAAAGCAGCAACTTTTTTATTATTTATGATGAAAAAGGGAAAGGGGAAAGGTAGTACTAACTCGTTTATTCCCCTCTCCAGCATCAGTAAATTTGTAAACAGAACCGGGAATTTGAAACCCTAAATGTTTCTCGGCCAATTGAATGTAGGTAGACACAGGTTGGTCCCATTGTGCTGCTCTATCTCTCACCTCCTCTTCCGTTGCTGTCAAAAAGAAGATTAAAATTCTGGTTTGAGAATGAAAATGATATGGAATAAGAGAGCAAATTGTGGGGTTTTATTTACCGTTGCAGAACCAGGAATTAAGGCCGTCGGTGATGGAGAGATTGAAGTGATAGGGAAACCAAGTGCCTTTTATGAAGATTGGTTCGGGGATTTCAAGCTTCAGGCAAGTATGCCTGGCCATTGTCGACTCCATTTTTTGGTTCGGCTTCTCCGGGAAGTTACTAAAGTGGCAGAGAGATTCGGTCGTGGGGTTTTATTTGCTTGTGGAGAGGACAGGGTGGACTTCTTCCCGCATTCTCTTGAAATTCGCTAGGATTGTGAAAATGGATTCACTGATTCGGGTAGCATTAAATCAAAACCCAACTGAGTCCTAAATTGCCTTGCATCAGGGTCCTGTAATTTGGGTAGAGTATAATTATCCTAGAGCCACAATATTTGCCTTGCATCAGGGTCCTGTAATTTGGATAGAGTATAATTATCCCAGAGCCACAATATTTTTTAAAAAGTATTTTTTTATTTTAAAATATTTTAAAATAATTTTTTATTTTTATTTTTAATGTCAACGTATAAAATAATTTTAAAAAAATAAATAAATTTTAAAAATCTCAATGTTTTTCAAAAATACAAAAACAAACACCTTTTTAAACAAATTATTTTATAACATGCAAGGATCCATTCATACTAAAACATTCATATCTATATATTTTTTAGCCCCATTTACAAGTTTATTGTCCAAATAAAGGTTTGTTAAAATTTTATTTTTTTATTTTTTTGATGTACTAATAGTGAAAAATAATTTTTTAAAAAAATATTTTTAAATATTTCTAAAAAAATTTAAAAACAAATATTTACAACACTAGTAAACACCCTATATAAATAATTCTACTACTTTTGACTAGGTTTAAATCTAAAATTGTTCATATATTTATTTATTCATTTTTAAAAATAATATATAATCATAATTATTTATAAAAGTTTGAGTCATGTGTTGAAATATTTGATTTCACAAAAACACTCTTAAATCTTAAAAAATAGCGATTGCGATATAAAAACATTAGTAAATATCAAATATATTAATTCAATTATTTCTATAATTTATAATTAAGAACAGAATAGAAAATATATATCAATCCCGCTTTTTATTTATATACCTATTTATACATCATATAAAATCTTAAATAATATAAAATAAGCTTTTTATGTCTTTTATAACCTATATAGTACTTTGTTGATATTTTATTAAATTTTAAAATTTTAAAATTAATTTAAAATAGGTTTACAAAAACCAATAGATAAATATAAAAAATAATAAAATCACATTAAAATCTATAAAAATTATTAAGTCTGATTCCTGATTTTTCTTTTTTATGAGATCCTTGATTATTGTCTTGTATTATTTTATGTTTAATTAGATAAAAATATTTATAAACTTTTATAATTTGTATGCCATCAGATACCCTTTCAGATAAAAAAAAATAATTCATGGTTTTTTTTATATCGACTATATTTTTAATTTCTCTTCGTGCTAAAGTTATTAGTTTTTTTAAAAAAAATAACAAACAATAAGCAGGCTCTAGTGAAAAGATTCAGGGATGATCTAAGAATTGACCAACATTTATGTTTTTTTTAAAAAAAAATTATATTTGAGAATGTGAGAATTAATGTAGTAGCTTTGTTTTTTTTTATGTTTTTAAAGAGCATATTAATCTTAAAAAAATATCAAATAAATGTTTTTAAAAATATTTTTCAATAATTTTAATATTTTGACATAAATTTCTTTTAAAAAATTAATATATTTTCAAACAAAAATATTTTTAAAAAATATATCTACTGCAACACCAAACACCTGCTTTAACAACAACCCCAACATTAATCCTTGTTATATATATATACACAGACAGAAACTTTAAGATGCGTGGAAGTTTTATTATCGCAAATAGATGCAATCTAGTATGAATTGTCATTGTAAAAATATTTACTTACCCTTAGGTGGAAAAAATTAAACATCAAGGCTAGGAGTGATTTGGTCTTTTTCACTGATTTGATCATTAAAGATTGTTCATGAATATTTGCATTATTTTTTTTTTACATGATTAAAATATAATTTAGTATTTTTATGTTATTTTTTGAATCCTTAAATTAAATTAATTACTAGCACATATGATATCATCTATTAGACAAATTTAGCTTTCAGCCGTGCCATTCGGTAAGTATATAATGTCTGTATTATTCAGGCAGTATGTATGATTCTATTTGTTATACAAATCTAGCATCTAGTCATCCCACTAAATCTGTCATCATATCTTTTTTTATATGGTTTGTCACGTAATGATATATAGTGATTAGATTATTGCTAGTAGTCGGTTGTTTTTTCTTTATTTTTTTTAAGTATGTTATAATTCTTTTTTTATTTTTATTCATTTTATATAAGTTTTTTTTCAATTTAGTTTTTTAATTGCAATTTATTATTTGTTTTGTTTTTAATCTTAGTTTTTATTCTTTTAATTTGTTGTTTTGTTTTTATAAGTTTTTTTAATTTATTTATTCAATTAAAATTTCTCTTTTTTTTTTCATCTCAATCCTTTTTTATTTTTTTTTCCTTGACTCTTTACTGATTTTTTTCATGCTTTTAATTTTACCATTCAATCAAAGTTTTTTTTATTTTTTTTATCCTGATCCTCATTTTTTTATTTTTTTTTATTAAAGCTATTTTTTCAATTCAATTTAACAACCCATTTGAAAAAAATTATTTGTGCTCTAATTAATATTTGTCCTCACCCTTGTTTTTATTTAGATCCTTTTATATTTTTTTTTGTCTAATTTTATTTTTTAATATGTAATTTGTTTAGGATGCGGTTTTATATAATCTTATTATTTTGCATTAGTTTTTTTAAAATAATAATTTTGTAATTATATTTAATTTATTTTATTCAGGTTTATTTCGGTCATATAACCTATATTATGGGCTTTGTGTGTTTTTTTTTTAATATAGAGTTTTTTAAAATTGTTTGTTTATATTTAATTTTTCAAGATATTATTTTAATTCATCTATTTTTTTTAGATAAATGAATTTTATTTTTTGAAATAAAAATATTTATTTTTAAATAATAATATTAATATGCTCGGTCTTACATAATATTTTTTTTTCAATCATGGGTTTATTTATTGAATTTTATACGTGTTTACCTTTTAGATCATGAATTTTTTTAAAATATAAATTTAATTTTTATTCATTTAAGTAAATTGTATATATTTCCAGTTCACTGTGAACAAAGGAAAATAAAATCAGTAACAAGATTCCTACTCAATCATAGATTAATAAGAATAAAAAAAAATATTCTTATTTCTAGCTCCATGTGATCAAAGGAAAATAAAATCAGCAGCAAGATTCCTACTCAATCATACATTAATAACAATCAAAAAATTATTCTATATATTTCCAGTACTTCCAGTTCCATGTGAATAAAGGAAAATAAAATCAGCAGCAAAATTTTTAATTAAATATAAATTAATATTAATAAATAATTTTAAAAAACATAATTTAGCTAGTTTAGTTTTGAATTTATTTTATAAATATCATTAATTTAAATGTTATAAATTTTAAAGTTATTAAAAGTTTTAAATTATTATTAATTTTAAAGTTTAAAAAATTAATTGAGATAGATGCTTATTTATAGTTGAAATAATAATAATAATAATAATAAAACATGCGAAAGCAACATGAAACGACAAAAGTGCCAGAAATGGGAGTGTCGGATTGGCACTTGCTGGCATGATAAACCTGGTAACATCTATCATGTGTTTCAGTGCCCACCCAAAGCCTCCCAACCCAGAAAATGATGTCTCTGAGATTCTTTCTTCTTCTCCTGTTTCAATTCTCAGTCTCTGGAATCCTTGCAATAAATAATGAAGACCCAACAGCCAAAACTATGGAGGACTTCTCTGGATACCCGTTACACGAATCAACTGATTACCCGTCTGCTCCTCCAAACTCACTGGTTTCTTTCCTTAGAGTTGACACCACAACTCTCCAAAACCAGGTACTCACTAATTCGAAATATTTCTTCTTTAACCTTTTTTGTAGTTCAATATCGCTGTGTTTTGATTTTATTTTTCTGGGTTTTTGACGAAGTATCTGTATTGTTATTCCATGTTTCTTTATTGGTTAAGTCCTTCCAACAGAGGTGATGTTTCTCTTTTGTAAGATAATGTTGTTATTATTTTTTCTTTGGTTGTTAGATCGATGAGCTTTCTACTTTCTCGGATACTCCTGCCCCATCTGTTACCAGGATTTTGTACACTGAAAAGGATGTTTTGGCACGCAGGTAATTCCATTAAAAATTTCTCTTCATTTCCACCAGATATATTGTAATCTTCGGTGGCCGTGATAGTTCCTTTAGGTGTGCTTTATTATTAGTATTCAGACTCCGTAGTCTAATGCTTCATTAACATATAGGAAATGTATGTTTTCATGGAATTAATTGGGGTGTGGGAATTTGCAAATTACAGTATGGTGCGTTTCGTATCTTTTACGACAATAATACAACTGCAATCATATATATTTGGTCTTATACCAGTGTTCTTGCAAATATTTTACTCCAGGTACATCAAAAACTTGATGGGGCTCTCTGGATTGTCTGTTAGAGAGGATGCTGTGGGTAACATATTTGGTCGCTGGTAAGTTTATTTTGTCATCTATTAATTTTGTTTTCTATAATCATTTCTCACACACAATTTTCAAAGATATATCAAGCTTTCATTTGTGTAAACTCAATAATAACTCCGATTTTGTTGCTCAATAAGGCTGGTTGTTTGTGTTTCAAATGATCATTAATTTGATTTTTTTGTTCGTGATCTTTGGATTGAAATGTTCGATTTTAAGCACATATCAGTATACCTCTCTTTATTTTTCTGGATTTCATTTTTCTGTAATTTTACTTGTGTTGTGTCTTCTGCAGGGATGGTTATGAGTCAGATCTTGTTCCAGTTGCGACTGGTTCTCATATCGATGCTATTCCATATTCTGGGAAATATGATGGAGTTGTTGGTGTTTTAGGTGCAATAGAAGCCATAAATGTGCTAAAAAGGTTAGCACTTTCTGGCTGATGTGAACAAGGGTATTTGCTATAAAAACTGAAAGACTGTATTGCTTTTCCTTGGATATTTTTGTGGGTGGATCAAGAACAAGTGTAGCTCCAAATGCATTGCTGCAAATGTAGAATATTAATGGTTTGCTCAGTTTTTATGCACGGTTCTACTTCATTTGAAGCAACAACCAGTCTACATGAAACAGCGGTCGCCTTGCATTTTAGCAATTCTGTTTCCAAATGAAAA